GTGACGGTACACGGAGTGACACCAGGCGTCAATAAGTGACGGTACACGGAGTGATATCAAACGTCAATAAGTGACGGTACACGGAGTGACATCAGGCGTCAATAAGTGACGGTACTGCGAGTAACATCAAACGTCAATAAATGACGGTACACGGATTGACATCAAGCGCTAATAATTAACGGTACAAGGAGTGATATCAAACGTCAATAAATGACGGTACACGGAGTGACATCAAACGTCAATAAGTGACGGTACACGGAGTGACATCAAACGTCAATAAGTGGCGGTACACGGAGTGACATCAAACGTCAATAAGTGACGGAACGCGGAGTGACATCAAACGTCAATAATTGACGGTACAAGGAGTGATATCAAACGTCAATAATTAACGGTACACGGAGTGACATCTAGCGTTAATAATTAACGGTACACGGAGTGATATCAAATGTCAATAAGTGACGGTACACGGAGTGATATCAAACGTCAATAATTAACGGTTCACGGAGTGACATCTAGCGTTAATAATTAACGGTACACGGAGGGATTTCAAGCGTTAATGAGTGACGGTACACGGAGTGACATCAAACGTCAGTGACATCAAACGTCAATAAGTGACGGTACACGGAGTGACATCAAACGTCAATAAGTGGCGGTACACGGAGTGACATCAAACGTCAATAAGTGACGGAACGCGGAGTGACATCAAACGTCAATAATTGACGGTACAAGGAGTGATATCAAACGTCAATAATTAACGGTACACGGAGTGACATCTAGCGTTAATAATTAACGGTACGCGGAGTGATATCAAACGTTAATAATTAACGGTACGCGTAGTGATATCAAACGTCAATAAGTTACGGTACAACTGATAGTACACAGAGTGATATGAAACTTTAATGATTGGCCGCACACAGCGTAATGTCACAAAGGTCTACCATTACTACTGGCATTGGTCGTTTTAAGACTTGCAACAGTACGATGTGAAAACTGTCCTCACACCAACGCCACCAACACATCCCAATGTGAAATCAACGGACAGAGCTACCGCATACGTCAGTCAGTGTCATGTAAATAAGCTAATGTGATGTACTTGATTACTTATGTTACGTGCCATATGCGGTACGTCGGGCAGACCAAAACACCATTTAACCTCAGGATCAACAGCTAAACGTTAACAAATTCCCTTGCCGGAACTGTCGTTATAACTTCTTTGCTTATATATATATAATATTGTATGTCTATAAAATCATGAAAACATTCACCAGAGGCATTCATCTTTTTGACATGATTTGATATATGTCCAGCCATATCAACTGATAAACCTCAAATATCTTGTTCCAATTTTTATTTGTTTTAAATTATTCTTGAATTCAACTCGAATCCTTGTAAATCCGTGCATACAATAATGCGATTAGTTTTACATCCCAGAATGCATTGCAAATAATTCCCTTTTAATGATTCTCATGACGATTTACCATTATCTTTTATCCGTGTACCTATTGTCTTATGAAAGAATTGTCAGCAATCTAAGTAAACAATTATCAATACGTACTTGGCCCGTATTCATGAAACCGTTCTCATGCTCAAGAATGGATTTTGTGCTCATGCCTTATTTCTTGTTATGGTTAAAAATTAATAACCAAATCGTATTTTGTTTATGAATTGGAAAACATTTGAACAGGCTTAAAGCCAAATGCTATTTTCAACAATTACATTTGACTATTTGATCGTTTGAAATGATTGAAGCAAATAACAAGAAAGTCGGTTTAAACACAGAACCGATGCGTGAACATGAACTGGTGTGTGATTTTAACAGAACTGTTCAATGATAACACATGCTTTATAGGTTGTACATACAGGCAACATCTCTTGTTTTGTATGTAAGAGACGTTTTATAGAAGGGAATATATCTTGTTTTGTAAGATAAGAAAACATCTTGTTTGACATATAAGGGACGCGCGTCTTGTTTGGTATATACGGGACGTCTGTTGTGAATCAAACAAGACACACGTCCCTTTGATTAAAACAAGAAATACGTCCCTTATATTTCAAACAACACAGTATGTGTGCAGTCAAGTACTCAAGACTCGTTTCACATTGTGGTTACAGTCAAGTACTAAAGAGGTCTTTCACATTGTGTGTACAGTCAATTACTGAAGACGTCTTTCACATTGTGTGTACAGTCAGGTACTGAAGACGTCTTTCACATTGTGTGTACAGTCAGGTACTGAAGACGTCTTTCACATTGTGTGTACAGTCAGGTACTGAAGACGTCTTTCACATTGTGTGTACAGTCAGGTACTGAAGACGTCTTTCACATTGTGTGTACAGTCAGGTACTGAAGACGTCTTTCACATTGTGTGTACAGTCAGGTACTGAAGACGTCTTTCACATTGTGTGTACAGTCAGGTACTGAAGACGTCTTTCATATTGTGTTTTAAGTAGCGCACTAAAGATGCTTTTCGCATTGTGTGTACAGTCAAGCACTAAAGACGCCATTCGCGCTGTGTGTAAAGTAAAGTACTAAAGACGTCATTTACATTGTGTGTACAGTCAAGTACTGAAGACGTCATTTACATTATATTTACATTCTGTGTTGCATTTGCCTATATGTCGTTAGTAAACCAAATTGCAGTATATGAGACTGTATACTACAATTTACAGTGATACGGCCAGTGTAGGTGGTATTGAAATAACGAGAAAATATTTACGATTTTCCTGTTTCACAGTAAGTATAGTGATTAAATAGAGAAAACAACTCTTTTTTTCCTTTGTCATAGCGTAGCGTTTTAATAAAAAGAAACTATTTATGTGTTGTCTATTTTTATAAAATCCATAAACTGTATTGAAGAGTATAGAAAACAATTAAAACTTACCTTAATTCTTATTTAATGATTAAGTATAGCGAAACCATTACCATAGTCATATTTAGTGTTACAATACATATTTACCCATGTTCTTATATGGTGTTAGATAAAACATCAAGGATTTACCCATGTTCTTATATGGTGTTAGATAAAACATCAAGGATTTACCCATGTCCTTTTATGGTGTTAGATAAAACATCAAGGTTTTACCCATGTCCTTATGTGGTGTTAGATAAAACATCAAGGATTTACCCATGTCCTTATATGGAGTTAGATAAAACATCAAGGATTTACCCATGTCCTTATGTGGTGTTAGATAAAACATAAAGGACTTACCCAGGTCCTTATATGGTGTTAGGGAACATCAAGGATTTACCCATGTCCTTATATGGTGTTAGGGAACATCAAAGATTTACCCATGTCCTTATGAGGTGTTAGGTAAAATCAAGGATTTACCCATGTCCTTATGAGGTGTTAGTGAACATCAAAGATTTACCCATGTCCTTATATGGTGTTACGGAAAATTAAGTATTTACACATGTCCTTATAAGGTGTTAGGAAGCATCAAAGATTTACCCATGTCCTTATATGGTGTTACGGAAAATCAAGGATTTACACATGTCCTTATATGGTGTTAGGGAACATCAAAGATGTACCCATCTCCTTATGTGGCTTCACGGGGTTTACAAAAGGGTTTTTTTCTGATGTAGTATAGCATTACAGAAAAAAAGACTTTTGTGATTGGTTCTGTGGGTTTAGAAAAGCTTTTATGATTTACCTATGTGCTGATGTGGTATGGCAGTATGAATTAACCTTTTTTCACTTTATCCTTTTGTGTTAATATCATTTATGACCAACTAATCGATTTACCTGCCTGATGCAATATTACAATTTATGGCATTTGCGCCATATTCTTTTATAACAATGCATAGAGATCAATTCATTTGTGTGTTCCAATAACACTAGGCTCTTTCAAAGCTAATAACGGTCATCCACCTCTCCGATTAATAACGGCCATCCACCTCTCCGATTCGCATGTTTTGTGTTGTTCCGTCTTTTATTTGTATGTTCGTATGAATACTTGTATACAAATCTTGTGTTTGTAATTAAGCCACATGTTTTGAATAACAAACAATGAGCAGGTTGCGTTTGACGATATGATTTGTTGTTTTGTTGCGAGGTTGATAATGACAGACTATAAATCAGATATTCCCTGCTGTTTACGGTAGTTTAATTGACATCTACAGTGCATTTTAAAGCTGTACGGGTACTGAAAATACGGTGAAACATTGTTTTCCTTTACTTTATTCAAGGAACGTTAATATAAGTTTTGAAATTCATATTTTAAACAGTTATGGGAGTATGCATCGCTACGTACCAACATACTATCTCCGTGATCCATATCATTCGTTTCTTAACACGTTGTAGGTGATAACCCTTAACGAAACACAATATTCCTTCATATACAAGAGTTGACATTAAGGGTAGCGCTTCACTCCTAAATGTATCTTTTAACATTAAAGTGTTTTCCCCATTCGTTTTCGCAATAAGGGTTTTCTCATGATTGCATATCCCCATAAATGTTCAAAGTATGTGTGTAAAGCCTAAACAACGTACCGTTTAGGATTCACGTACATGTATGCCGTGATGAGGTGTTACGATATAAACTTAACTTTACCCAAGTCGTTATCTGGTGTTACAGATTCGTGAAAACCTGTAAGCGTTATTGATGCCCTGATCGTGTAAAGCTGAAACGTGTAACATTGCGCGTATGCGTTTAGAACAATAATAACTAAACAATTAAAGAGTCTACCCTTCCCTGTCAATATTTTGAAAGTAATTTGATTGCAGCTTCTGGAAAAAGTCAACGTTTATGAAGGAAGAGTGAACGTAATTTAATCTATCATGTCTTCCTTCTGCCGAGTACAGCAGGGACCATGTACTATAGCTATCATATGCTAACATAATAACACGCTAAGAGTGATAAAAACGGTGTTTGATATTTGTTTGGAATATATAACATTGTCCATCATTTAGGAAAGGATGAATACCAATCAGGATATTTAAAAACAACACTTCGCTCATAAAAAATGAGACTTCACGAAATAAGATAACAGTGTTTAAAATAAATACCTTTATGTATGTTTCTGATTTTATTCAAGAATGTTCATAGAGAAAGGGCTGAAAAGAAAGGGGAATGAAGACATGCCTTTCTTCAGACAAGGCAATGGAATAATAAAGTAATATCGAAAAATTAAACATAAGAGAATGGAAGATAAAAGGAAAATATAAAAGGTGACGCACATTAACCAGGTACATATTTTAAAGCCAGTGTGTTTATATAAATATATCCATATTAATGCCTTCCTCTGGGTCACTCTTCCGGCACACAGATACGTCTCACTTAAGCTCTATCACTTCCGCCGACTGTTGCTCCACCCTACACGAACACCCCGCCTTCACACGCATGAAGTCCACCCTGTAGGGCTGAGTCACGTTAAAATCTTTCACTATAGCATACATATAGGTATAATCTTGAATGCATCTTGAATAATACGTGTCGTCTATGAATCGGCACGACCTATTTAATATAAAAGGTGAGCAGGATTTTTCGTAAAACCTTTGCACCGTCCTCGAGTCTCTATACAGTTGTAGTAACTTGTTTTCCCGAGAAAGGCCCCCAAGAGGAGCGATTCTCCGTGTGTGGGTCGGACAACATTCTAATGTACTTTCCGGTATCACATTTTCATGGGCTCGTTTTTCTATATCTTCAAATCGCCTGTAAAAACAAGGAAGACAATTAGATATTGAATTAAGAATACCGACTTGTGACTACTTGATAGAGTATACGGACTTGTTGACAAAATTTACTAAAATAGTGAAGACATGTTGACATAAAAAATAATGATGTTGTTATATCGATCACAGTATAGAAAATTGTACGTCAATTCCATGAAACATTTTTGTTCTGTAAGCAAAATATCCATTCAAAAGTGTAATTATCTATAAAAATTCCAACAACACATCAATCATACAAAGCGTATCAATTTTACGTCAAATACAGTGTTTGCACGAGTCTTAAATCACATATTGTATATAAACTTTTTTTACAACAAATCTTAGAAACTTCAGTAAGATAGATCAAACCATTCCATGAATTTGTTACATTTAATCAAATGAAGTCTCGTTACACGTGACTTCATTTGCTTTCATTTCAGCAACGAACTGTGTAAACATGGTATTTACTGCGCTAGCGCATTGTGCATTGTTTCCCTGTAAAGCCGTGTAACACATTCACAAAACAGTTCAGTATTTACTGTATATTTACAAATTTTGGAATATATTTGATATCATAAAAAAGTAAAAACTACTTAGTGAAATTCAAATTGGTTACGTATCGTGCAAGTTGTTAAATGAATAGAACATCGATCTTCCATGAATGGTCAGTGGTATCTAACCTTACAAATATAAATGTCATGATAATGATGACGTCAACACGTGGGCCATGACATTTACCGTCTATATAGGGTTATATAAAGTGGTTGATATAGTGTAATACACGTAATGTATTAACAAACAGCGCATTTATATTTAAAATAATTATTGAACTTAACTCTGTCCATGCTTACTAATGTACTTGCATTTTTCTGTTATTTATGAAACATATGTGTAAAGTACATGATACAATCAATGTCGACATATATATCATGTTGGTTATCTAATAAATTATCTAGATTGACGCTCCTGTGCTATTTGAAATAACACTATGAGTTAGCGTGTGACCAGTAATATAGAGTGTCGCTAACGTACCCCAGGGACCTCCTCAATACATAGAACTAGATTAATCACACTAGCCCTGTAAAAACAACACTAACACGGCGGTATTTACTCACACGGAAACGAATGATTAAAATCTTCATTTGTTATGTCCATACATTGTAGAAGAGTTAACGTTTATAAATGTCAATAAAATATTGGTTAAGTTGCGTATGCTTCAAGTAATAACTTGACTGAATTTTAAATAATTTTAGATCAAGTAAAAGTTTGATTGAATGTCTATATTTCAAGTCTTCAATATGGTAAGACTTGCATTTATATAAAGTATTAATTAGGTCATTTGTACAGATATAGTAATCATTCTGATATTGCATAATAAATCAAATATCAATGACTGTATAAATCAAACTAATCAAAATCGCTACTCCAGGAGTACTCTCACGTACGCTTTCTGCACCCCTGGAAAATGTCATAGCGAAATTGAAGGCACGCAGCTCGCTATTTGATTGGTCTCGGGTAAAAAAATATATCAATTAGCAAGTTGATATACATCCTTTGAAGATTAAAAACGAACGACACCCGACTTCAATGCCAGTCGATTTTACCGTTAAGCTAGCGCGGGATTCTTGTGATGTACATCAAATGATCAAAATAGTCTCCTCATCTTATCCACAAGGTGACACACTCTGAGCCTTCGATTTTGATATGACATATTCCAGGAGTGCAGAGAGCGTAAGTGAGCGTAAGTCCTTGAGTATCGATAATGCACTTTTCATACTTTTGATAGCTTGGACGATTTTGTATTCCTACGTAAAAGCGAAAGGCACGTTTTAAATGGATTTTAACTAGTTTACAGGAATATAGGGCTATTCATACGCAGATTCGGGAAAGAAAATGCCTGCTGAAGCCCTCTGAATGATCATTACAGGCGACTAATGTTGGGTCCCCTTGCACGATTGAGTTGGTTAGAAGAAACCAAGAACAGACCTGATGTATCCTAAGTATGTGTATCGTAAAGGAAACTAGTTTCACTGTTTGATATATCTCCATGCGCTGTCTTATAAAAACAGGACATTTATCTACCACAATGATCCCCTACTAACTTGATATAAAGACCCCTACAAAATCTCCTCCATCAGACGTTTTTCTCGATCTTTACTCGAACATTACCGACAGGTACGGCTTACTTCTAAGCTGCACGATAAGTGTCACGATTTCGATACTCCGATTGATTAACATAACTGCTTTCCGAATCTATGGTGTTAACATGTCACATTTGATTCAGTATTCAACAGATTGCTCCTAATAGCATGATTTTCGTCATAGATGTCGACTGCTGACGGACAAACTTACAACAGAGGGTTTCTAACTATGCAGGTTGAGGATGAAGACTATGGGCGGGTGTCATGGTCGTCATCATAAACAAAACTATTTTGGTTCATTGTGTGGTCAAAGGTCGACGTTATTTATCTATTTGTTCTCACCACCCCGTGATCTCGTTGGAGAATGTGACATTACTTGGATTTGAAATTTTACCAGGGTGTAAATGCATAAATTTCCTTTTGTTCATATGTTTGATAAAAATCTACACACCAGTTATTTGACATGAATTGGAATCAAATCGGTTTGGCTGAAAAGGGAGTACTTATGTACACGTACTTTCAACAATGTCGTGAAAATATCTTCAAAATATCACAGAAAAGTCTCAAATACTGAAGTTAGAGAAATACATAATACCATACTTATGTACAATGTATTCATCTGACATCTCAGACAGCACGAGTGCATTGCGCGCATGGATATATTTCACAAAGACGAGGGCTCTACCCCGAGTGAAATATATCAATTCGCGGAATCAACGAGTGCAATCTGAGACGTTAGATGAACACATATGCAGTATTGCTTCTATTAAATACCTCCATGCATAAGACATTACTTAGCATCACCCCGTATTTATGTACGATGTTTCTCCCAAAATCTTAAACCGGACAGTGATTGTACTCAAAATGATGTGGAGGACAGAATAATGACATCACAATACCAATAATAGAAACGTCCCTAAAATGTTCGACACTCACTATCGTTTAATTTTGACATTTGATCAGTGAATTACAACCGATGATTTCCGGTAAAAAGGATGTTTGGTAACCGGGGTGATACAACATATTGTATCATCACAGTGTGAACTACAGGACTGGCTGTGTTTATAATTAATACATAGGGTAAACGTCGATGATTTATAGTGAAATCGAGCATCATTGTCACAGAGGATAAAAAATAGGTTTTTGAATATATACCTTTCCTCCCAGAGGATTGCTTGTAATAAGTTAGTATGGCTTTCTACTTCCTGGCTTTGTTCTATACGTCCTCGTATAAAACTGGGGGTCGTACTGTAGATAATGATAACCTGTAAGTAGAAAAAAAACAATTCCAGTATTGTCTCTATCGGTATGGTTTGTATAGGTAACACCTGTCCAGTGTACGGTCCTTGTAAAACGCACCATATCATCAATAATTAAACGAGTAATGTCAATCCTTAATTAAAATGTAGTACGAAGACAATGTGAAAAGTTGCTTATTTAATCTAAAACGTTTCCAAGATACAACATCCCGAATATTTTCAGGCTAAAAATCTAAAATATGTTGAAAAAATCATTAACTCCTTTCTGACGTCTTTGTCATCAACACACTAGGAGACATACTGTTACAATAACAATGGTATTTAAAGGCACGTTTCATAAATACTCATTAACTTATGTCAATTATGTTATACTACTAGGAATACTGTACAATACTTGGGTAGTGTTCTATCTAGTTAAAGGATAAAAATGTACGGCGCTTACACATCCCTTTAACACTGGTAAAAATTGCAGCCATGAAATAATAATTTGTTTTACTTGCATGGCAAATGCTTAAATACATAATTTCTGTTAAGGTATACCAATCACTGTCGGAACTATGATGAGCAAATAGAAAGATGAACTAAACAAGAAAGAAAGATATCAGAAACAGCGTTCTAAGGGTGAAAAACCAACGGGGCAAGACCAGGATTCGAACCCTGGACCTCCGATTACTATGCAGTCGCTCTATCCTACTGTGCCATCTGATCCTAGTTCCCTGGTCCAGCCTTAATACAATCATACTCAAAAGAGTAATAAATGGTAATTAATTGTATGCAAGATGAATAACAGCAGAACATTATGGAAAGGGATCCTGAAATGATGAAGCACTTTATTGTATCCACCAATAGTTGTTGTGTTATGTGTGAGCATGACGTTGACATGTTCATTTGTATACAATCACATCACAAACGCTCACTGTGTTAATGTGGTCGAGTTTTTGTTTGGCGACATTGTGTCTGCCCACACATGCGTCAAACTCAATGGAATGTGATGTAAATTCGTATAATAAATAAAGAGAAATCAGTCAGTCGTTATTATATATATGTCATATTATATAAGAATATATAATTATCTACTTGAAGCGTGAAAACCTCGATACATTCGAATGCTATAGTGTTAACTGAAGGATCCAGGAAACACGAGAGACGTGATTATGTATATAGCTAATACATTAGTACTAGGTGTAGATTTTAACAGAATTTCAATCTTATATAAAATTTCTTAAGATCAGTGGGTCATATTGAATAACAATTATATGTATGTGTCTACATGATCCTAGGTACAAGGTGGTACAAGTAACCTTGGTAGCCACAGAGATATTTTTGTGGTAGTGGAACGTTTCATAATATACACTTTTTACTCGTTACTAATTCAATATTAACCAGTACTCGTTACTAATTCAATATTAACCAGTACTCGTTATTAACTCAATATTAACCAGTACTGGTTACTAATTCAATATCAACCAGTACTCGTTACTAATTCAATATTAACCAGTACTCGTTACTAATTCAATATTAACCAGTACTCGTTATTAATTCAATATTAACCAGTACTGGTTACTAATTCAATATCAACCAGTACTCGTTATTAACTCAATATTAACCAGTACTCGTTATTAATTCAATATTAACCAGTACTCGTTATTAATTCAATATTAACCAGTACTCGTTATTAATTCATTATTAACCAGTACTCGTTACTAATTCAATATCAACCAGTACTCGTTATTCACTCAATATTAACCAGTACTCGTTATTAATTCAATATTAACCAGTACTCGTTACTAATTCAATATTAACCAGTATTCTTTATTAGCTCAATATCAATTTCCAGTACTCGTTATTAATTCAATATTAACCAGTACTCGTATTAACTCATTATAAACCAGTATTCGTTATTAGCTCAATATTAATTACCAGTACTCGTTATTAATTCAATATTAACCAGTACTCGACTGATATTTGCAACTCATATGATAAGTGGTTTTACGCAACTTCCGTTCAGTTTCAATACTAGTTTTGACAAACTTGGATCTCCATCTTTTGACCCCTAACATCACCGATTATTCTTTTGGAGCGTGCTATATCTATTACCAACTTATGAAGGTACATCAAAATGAATTTCTCCAACAATGTTGCGAATCCTTTTTCTAATGCATCTGCCACTGACCTCTTTCATCTCTCAATCAAGCAGCTAGTTTATCAGTACATTTTTTCAACATACAAGTACTAGAAATAACAACTTGATACATAGAATATTCCACAGATTAGACTAGTAGTACAGCTCTAGCCTCTGATGCCAGCCGTCGATGTGGAGGGGCTCATAACTCATTCTATTGACATTGGGTGACGTATGGAGATTTGTTACATGGTTACTTCTAATGTGGCTCTGTGTAAATGGCATAGTACCTTCTATCCGTGAAGGATGAAGTGTATAATAAAACAACAAGATTGTTTATCATAACTAAAAGATTGTCCTAATACTTAAAGCATAATGTACTGGTTTATAACTACGGTAGTTAAAGCATCTCGATAATGATTATACATGTGTCCTCATTACTTCAAGGTCATGTATGTGACCTCGTTACTTCGAGGTCATATATGTGACCACGTTACTACAAGGTCATGTATGTGACCTTTCAATCGAAAGAAAATACCGCAAAATAAATGGTGAGTACACCTAGATAAAGACATTGTTGTTAGTTCCCCAGAAATATTAAATAATTTAACAAAGGAAACTGGTTTAAGAATTAAGAATCGTGCTGCTAGTATTTAACGGTACCTGTAGAATTGTCCTTGTATTATTTAACGGTACCTGTAGAATTTTCCTTGTATTATTTAACCGTACCTGTAGAATGGTCCGTGTATTAGGTAACGGTACCTTTATAATTGTCCTTGTATTTTTTAACGGTACCTGTAGAACTGTCCTTGCATTATTTAACTGTACCTGGAGAATTGTCCTTGTATAATTTAACGGTACCTGAAGAATTGTCCTTGTACTATTTAACTGTACCTGGAGAATTGTCCTTGTACTATTTAACTGTACCTGTAGAATTGTCATTGTATTATTTAACGGTACCTGAAGAATTGTCCTTGTATTTTTTAACGGTACCTGTAGAATTGTCCTTGTATTATTTAACGGTACCTGTATAATTGTCCTTGTATTATTTAACGGTACCTGTAGAAATGTGTTGATAGTATTTAACGGTACCTGTAGAACTGTGTTGATAGTATTTAACTGTACCTGTAGAATTGTCCTTGTATTATTTACCTGTACCTGTAGAATTGTCCTTGAACTCTTTAACTGTACCTGCAGAATTGTCCTTGTATTATTTAACTGTACCTGGAGAATTGTCCTTGTACTATTTAACTGTACCTGTAGAATTGTCCTTGAACTCTTTAACTGTACCTGCAGAATTGTCCTTGTATTATTTAACTGTACCTGGAGAATTGTCCTTGTACTATTTAACTGTACCTGTAGAATTGTCCTTGTATTATTTAACGGTACCTGTATAATTCTCCTTGTATTATTTAACGGTACCTGTAGAAATGTGTTGATAGTATTTAACGGTACCTGTAGAATTGTGTTGATAGTATTTGACTGTACCTGTAGAATTGTCCTTGTATTATTTACCTGTACCTGTAGAATTGTCCTTGAACTCTTTAACTGTACCTGCAGAATTGTCCTTGTATTATTTAACTGTACCTGTAGAATTGTCCTTGTATTATTTAACGGTACCAGTAGAATTGTGTTGATAGTATTTAACGGTACCTGTAGAATTGTGTTGATAGTATTTAACTGTACCTGTAGAATTGTCCTTGTATTATTTAACTGTACCTGTAGAATTGTCCTTGAACTCTTTAACTGTACCTGTAGAATTGTCCTTGTATTATTTAACTGTACCTGCAGAATTGTCCTTTTATTATTTAACGGTACCGGTAGAATTGTATTGATAGGATTTAACGGTACCTGTATAATTGTGTTGATAGTATTTAACTGTACCTGTAGAATTGTCCTTGTATTATTTAACGGTACCAGTAGAATTGCATTGATAGTATTTAACGGTACCTGTAAAATTGTGTTGATAGTATTTAACTGTACCTGTAGAATTGTCCTTGTATTATTTAACGGTACCTGTATAATTGTGTTGATAGTATTTTACTATACCTGTAGAATTGTCCTTGTATTATTTAACTTATCTGTGGAATTTTCCTGATAGTATTAAACTGTACCTTACAAAAGCAGCATGTGCTATTACAGGTTCGACGCTTATCGCGGTATTTTGTAATAAGATATTGGTATCGTTTTACTGGGAAAAGGGCATATATAAGGAACATTGTATAGGGTCGATAACAAAAAAGTCCCTCACACATCTCCGACTAAATGCACACGCACATCAACAACACTATCATTTTGACACAATAGACTTTTTGACATCACAATACCATTTACTCGGATATAATCGGACACTAATTCAGATAACGGCCCTACCTGAAAGTGAGAATACCTTATTGAGGATTCTGAGCATTACTTTTTCTAGTGGTAGGTGCTATCGAAGTGAATATTCACACATTTTTGTATGGTTACCAAACACCTGATGTCAATATTGATATATATATATATATATTCTGCAGAAGTTACAGGTTGATATTTAAGATACTAAACGTCTTTATGTAATATATTTCTAACATTTTCACGAGTCTGGGACTGTTTGTCAACTTTGAAGACGAGTACAAGCACAGAAAAGTGTGAGTGCATGGACAAATTGTGCTTGTGACAAGACAGGGTTAGAAAAAATGACTGATATTTGTAACATGTCTCTAGCACGATAACAAACGTTATATTTTTCGAAAACGGTCATAAATAATATCAAAACATTACTGACAGTTGTATATCTAAACCAATATCTTGTATTTGTACTTTTTAACACTGAACGGGCTTGTATAGGCTTTTCCTGTTAACAAATGCCTTACGCATTGAAGACCTATACAATGACATATTCTGAAATTAAGAAAGCCAATAAAAACACAGCTTGCTAATGTGCTGAGTTAAGTGCAAATAGAGAGGTCCTACATCGTTAAATAGCACACATAGAAATAGATCATGTTTCCTGGTCCTGATCTAATAAACCGTGTAATACAGTGCCTACTGATTAACACACACGCATGGTAGAATAGAATCCAAACAATTTAATCTTTTTTATAACCCACGAATAGTACTTTACACAACTTCCAAAAGGTATTTTCTGGTAAAAGGTTTCCAATTATAGGCAAAAAACAGCTCGAAAAGGTTAAGTTCTTTCAACTTAATCACACTATTTCCATGACTATATTAGGTGATAGCGCATCACCAGGCAACTGTTCGTGAGCATAGCGGTAAGAACAAATAAGCGAACGTCGCCGTATAGTGTGACAATCACTGAGATTGATCGTGTAGGGTATATGTTGCAGATATATGGTGATACAAGAGTTTACTCACCAATAAATATATGAGCATGTGCATAGTTCCACCATTGGCGTTTGTGTAAATAGCCTGTTATTTACACAATATCTGAAAAAGAAATAATATCAATCATTTCATTTTTTTTTTGTTTTTAATATGTCTTTTATTCAGCTTCATTTTAAACAAGGTATCGAAATACCTTATTGTCATCTTCGATCTTAACCTTGTGCAAAAATCTTTTTTAAAGAACACAATTGACAATCGAATCCGGTGCCTAAGTTGGCTTAAAAGAATGTTATCATAAATCTCATTTGGAATATTTCATTTCCTTTTGTTAAGATCGATTATTATTTATGCTCATTGGAGTGTCTTGTTTTTGCGTTCTCACTACCACTATCCTCCCTTTGAGGACTTGACATTACTTGTATTTGACCTAAAGTTTCATTATAGGTGTCGTTCGTATTTCCCTTGTACCTTTATATATCATTGACTAGAAGTATACTGGTTTTGAATGAAAACAGTTGTAGCCATGCTAAACAACACACACAAAAAACAATAACAAAATACATTGGAACATTTTATCGGCTTTATATTATGAAATGACACGTTATTTAAAGTTCAATCTAGGGCACGCGACTTTTAGTTTATTATACAGAAACATTTCTGGGAATGTATCCTTGATTTAAATGATTTTGAACGGTCACTTTATTCTCCATTATGAGGTTGAAATATCGGGTGACCATACCCTCTTTAAGGGGAATTGTTTAACCTTAATATAACAATCATAGATATTAATCGTTTGCTCTGAAGGACAAAATTACAACACTGAATTTCTAAAGATGCAGGTTGATAAAGATCGTGGACTACAGTAGTTTTAATGTCTCCGTCATGGTCTCACAGAGAAGTGTGTTATTTCTTTGTGTGATATGAAGGTCGATGTTTTTAATCATGCTCATTAGTGTACCTTGCGGATTTGTTGTCACTACCTTAGTTCTCGCTGTGAGGAAGGGACATTACTTGTGGATTGGTTGTCACTACCTTAGTTCTCGCTTTGAGGACGTGACATTACTTGTGGATTTGTTGTCATTACCTTAGTTCTCGCTGTGGGGACGTGACATTACTTGTGGATTGGTTGTCACTACCTTAGTTCTCGCTGTGAGGACGTGACATTACTTGGTTTTGACCTAGATCTACATGGCGGGTGCCGTCGATGAAGAAGAGGACGCGTACCCTTCCGAAATACCTGTGTTATTCTCCTTGTACTGTTCCGATGGTCTCTAGGTTAATAGCTCACTTGTTCATATTTCGTCCTAGTTTTATATATTTTCAGCTCCAATTATGGTTTTATTAACAATTTTGTAATCTCTTATTGTTTTTGTTTTTCATCTCAGCATTACAACACTCAATCATAAAAGATATGGAACTTATACTCAGGCCCTTTGATCTAACACACAACTGCACGCGTACACATATACTTACATTTTACATACATTAGTTTTACATACATACATGTTATACATACACATGCCACAGACATACATGTTACAACACATACATACATTCTGTGCACATATATTCATTCACACTTTGTTAGAAGATTCTCTCAGAAGCTATAATGATCGTCATCTGTATCATATTTAATGGTTTCAGATTGTCTTTGTCTATAAGATTTACAGAGAATATAAATAATATGAATATTTATTTTTTTTCTGAATGACGTCTTCGTCCTTATTGGGATCATTGGTTAAAAATTTTTTTTAAAGAATACTGACAGAAAAAATACAAAATTAAAAAGCAGATCACTATCGAAAGACATTGTCATGGTATTGTATGACGGTATGGATGAAACAGAGAAGGGGTTCAAAGAGCGTCGATAACAACGAGACTTCCTTCTCAGACACAAGACAAATAATGTCATTAGCAAGATCTCTACAAGGACATGTTAGATATGGAAAAGTATAGGACACGTCACGTACATTGAATTCCAAGGGCAAAAATGCAATTAATTTGCGACAATAGTTGAAAATCAATCATTTCCTATGTGGTCTACCTTCACAGTCATTAGATTAGTAGCATTTCACAAACAAAAACTGGCTCCCGTCGTTCTTACCCTGACAACTGCCTGAATCCTTCTCAGAGGCTATTTGTAGAATACCCAATGAAATGTTATGGATGTGGGAGGTTTAATCATACACAATCATAAAAACACGTCGAAACAGTTGAAAACAAAAGAATTTCAACCATTAACTCATTTGCAATTGCATAAAAAATGTTGCAATCTTGATTCGATAACTCGTAATATTATTTTTGATGTGTGTATATGATGTCTCAGATTCGTTTGTGTCTCCTCTGTTCCCGTTATTGTCGTTTTGTTTTGATGTCTCATCATTTCCCGTTATTATCGTTTTATCTCCTAGGATTATGTCTTGTTTCGTGATTTCAGATTTCGTTCCTGTTGTTTAAAGCTGTGATATACCAGTATGTGTATCTGTCCAATTTAGGGAGCATTGTATGAACGTGTTTCTACTTACTATAACTGGTTAGGATATGGAGAGAAAAAATTGTTGATTTGAGTTCAAGTGTTGCACAATATTTCGGAATTGATCACAATTTGTTAAACTCGTTATTAAACAGGAAAGAACATTAATACGCTTAAAAAGACTTGAAGGGGGCGTCATATCAGAAACGTAAATGTCAATTGCTGCTTCAAGTAAGCGAAACAAGTACAATGACCTTGTGGTGGTATTCGACTGGTACGATTTGTTCCGAACGATAGCTATACTCGAGTCTCTTTACATGAGTAGTATTCGTATACGGATAATCAGTTTGCTGTGTATTGCAATGAAGAATTGCTAACCACTAAACCGTTTATCGTTAATACGTAATCCTGTCCATAAGAAGTCCTTCAAAACGAATGGAAATATAAAATAAGATTTAACTGTTATAGGAAACCTGTCTATTTTACGGGGTTTGATAGAACTTCTTTGAATCTCATAGTCGTGCTTCAAATAGTTTTATATCTCAAGTTTGATTATTCTATTTACCAAACAGATTTATTTGATGAACTGAAACATGTTCATCGGTGACTTGGATTATGTTGTGGCAGCAAGGATATGACAGACGACATTTATAACAACGTCGTAACACAAACAAACAGGCCACGAGCGGAACTGGAACTTAGACATAAGGTAAACCTGAACTGTTAGGCGAACACGAACTGTATCTACTATACGTAGGGTTATTCATCGACACAACCACTTTTTCGTACTGTAAATCTTTCGCTGCCACGCCGAATCAACTGCGAAATCGTTAACCTAATAGTAATGAGATCGTTTCACTGACATATCATACATCTGCATTTAGTTTTTAAAGTAAGTTCGATAACTTTTGAGACTGTCATATATAAGAATATGTTTTGCATTCATCTGTTGGTGAAAGTTGACTTAATGTTAACACGATTTGGCCTCCGCCTGACCTATACGATATAATTAACACGCCTTTTTCTCAGTCTCTCGGTGACAGTGGTACAGTGATGAAGGGTCAGTCTTATTAAACCCATTAACTTTATAATCATATTATTTTTATGATCTTGTCAACAGTTTTTAGCAAAACAGTATCACTCAAACGTGAAACTTGTTGTGTAGACTGCATTAACACTAAACACATTGAATACAATAGTGACAAACAGGTTCACTGTCGTAAGACTGCATTAACACTAAACACAATGAATACAATATTGACGAACAGGTTCACTGTCGTAAGACTGCATTAACACTAAAAACAATGAATACAATATTGACGAACAGGTTCACTGTCGTAAGACTGCATTAACACTAAACACAATGAATACAATATTGACGAACAGGTTCACTGTCGTAAGACTGCATTAACACTAAACACAATGAATACAATATTAACGAACAGGTTCACTGTCGTAAGACTGCATTAACACTAAACACAATGAATACAATATTAACGAACAGGTTCACTGTCGTAAGACTGCATTAACACTAAACACAATGAATACAATATTAACGAACAGGTTCACTGTCGTAAGACTGCATTAACACTAAACACAATGAATACAATATTAACGAACAGGTTCACTGTCGTAAGACTGCATTAACACTAAACACAATGAATACAATATTAACGAACAGGTTCACTGTCGTAAGACTGCATTAACACTAAACACAATGAATACAATATTAACGAACAGGTTCACTGTCGTAAGACTGCATTAACACTAAACACAATGAATACAATATTAACGAACAGGTTCACTGTCGTAAGACTGCATTAACACTAAACACAATGAATACAATATTAACGAACAGGTTCACTGTCGTAAGACTGCATTAACACTAAACACAATGAATACAATATTAACGAACAGGTTCACTGTCGTAAGACTGCATTAACACTAAACACAATGAATACAATATTAACGAACAGGTTCACTGTCGTAAGACTGCATTAACACTAAACACAATGAATACAATATTAACGAACAGGTTCACTGTCGTAAGACTGCATTAACACTAAACACAATGAATACAATATTAACGAACAGGTTCACTGTCGTAAGACTGCATTAACACTAAACACAATGAATACAATATTAACGAACAGGTTCACTGTCGTAAGACTGCATTAACACTAAACACAATGAATACAATATTAACGAACAGGTTCACTGTCGTAAGACTGCATTAACACTAAACACAATGAATACAATATTAACGAACAGGTTCACTGTCGTAAGACTGCATTAACACTAAACACAATGAATACAATATTAACGAACAGGTTCACTGTCGTAAGACTGCATTAACACTAAACACAATGAATACAATATTAACGAACAGGTTCACTGTCGTAAGACTGCATTAACACTAAACACAATGAATACAATATTAACGAACAGGTTCACTGTCGTAAGACTGCATTAACACTAAACACAATGAATACAATATTAACGAACAGGTTCACTGTCGTAAGACTGCATTAACACTAAACACAATGAATACAATATTAACGAACAGGTTCACTGTCGTAAGACTGCATTAACACTAAACACAATGAATACAATATTAACGAACAGGTTCACTGTCGTAAGACTGCATTAACACTAAACACAATGAATACAATATTAACGAACAGGTTCACTGTCGTAAGACTGCATTAACACAAAACACAATGAATACAATATTAACGAACAGGTTCACTGTCGTAAGACTGCATTAACACAAAACACAATGGATACAATATTAACGAACAGGTTCACTGTCGTAAGACTGCATTAACACTATACACACTGCATATCAATTACTAATTGACAGTTTAATACTACTTAAACAACAATCATAAAATTTGAAGTATTACTAAATTAATAACGAATATTCTTAATTGTAAAAATATGACAACATCAAAATAACAGATTGAACCTGCTACTCACAAACTGTTATTTCTCTGTAATATTGCAACAGTATAACGTATAACAAAGCGTATATAACGCTTACTGTAGTTAATCTGCTGATTCTCAGTATTGATTGTCTCATTACACACTCGTTATTATATAACAAAGGATGATACAGAAGATCACAGAACGGTAAATATAGTCATCTATTGTACATACTACTACAATATACTTCTATCTTTTTATCAGGCTTGTTCACACGTAGTGATCACAGGATTATATGAATCACGGCTCAGAACTAAGGCTATAATCGTGTTATAATCATGTTAGCATACATACTGCGTTGCTGATGAATACTGATGAAGTAGTCTATGTATTACAAGGAAAGACATGAAAGGCTTCACATCGCATCTGATCGCATTAAATCATAGGCACAACATCGATTACAAAAACTTAATTTGGCGAAAGTAGATCATAGCAGAATCTGTATTGGTGAGAGTTACCAGGAAAAAAACGAGATAAAGAAAGAGAAAATCTGTTTTCCTTAAGTTTGAAATTAAAAGTTTAAAGACTTTTTTGAAAAGTTAAAAATGCAAAATAAAATATGAAATAGCTTACTATGTTTGTGTGCTGTTTCCGCCAAACGTATACATATGTATCCCTCTCGCTATTGATAATGTCACCATGCGTATACATATGTATCCTTCTCAATATTGATAACGTCACCACTGCCGTTATATATCCACTGTAACGTGCTTTTCCTTGTTATGACTTAATTATAAGCTAATATTCCCAGCAGCACCCTGCTAGCGATCGTGTGTCGTTAACAACCATGTTCGATAACCAGGACAGGTCTTTGTGTGGGTATTATCACAATCGTAGAGCGGGGTACGGTTATATACACGCTTTCCTGCGTTGGCGAATCAGTTTCTATTCCAGACGGACCTGTGATGAAATAGTGTTGGCCATTGGTCCTGGCGAATCAACGGAAATATGATGCCAAGTGTTTATCGCAATGATTATATCTTCTCATAATCATTCAACACCTACTTCAACAACAGCTATGCTTGGACATTGCTGATTGTAAGATATACTTTGAAAGAGAGTTATTTGATAGTAGTGTTAACCGTTGTTTATACAGTAGTTACGGCCCACGGTAATTGTGTGTTTTGCTACAGGTACTGGAAGCAGTAAGTAATTGTCGCCGTGATTTATAGACCGCGTAGCTACTTTCTTCCCCATTATATGTATAGGGTGTCGCCGAACTTTTTGAGGGGGATTCCTGACTTTGCTTCGGACTTTTGCGTCACATAATAGATCGACAAACATGTTGATGCAAATATTAATGTATATTAAAGTTAATGTTTATTTTTTTATTCCGTATAGCGCTCTCATTTCGCGACGTTATAAACTCCTGCAGTAACAAGCTCTCGTGGTTTCGCCTCTGTACCAAGTTCACAGTGTTTCCATTTTGTGTTCTAGCGCGAATTCTATCTAAGACGTAATTATGTTTCATCACATTGACAAAGATATAATGAAAGTTCAGAGCAGTTGAATATGATGAAAACTAAACTCTTGATTAAATATAACGGTAAACTACATTCTGATGAATACTTATATCTAAAAACGGTAAGAACTGATATATGTATTCTTTGGGTAATCAGCCACAAACTTATTTTTCTTCATTTGCATTGCTTCGTTTATTGGTATTGTTTGGTATTTTACTCCTTTTTTATTTTTTTATTTTCCCAATTGTCGACCAAAATCTGTTCAAGAATTTTAAGCATCGTATATAGGAGAACTTGGAGGACATTCGGAACACGTCTCAAAGAACATCCTGAGGATATTGAAAATGAGCAACACCAATTTACCAGAAACATCAGTAAAACATCTGCTTTCCAGTACACCAAATCGGCATTAACAGATCACGCTTACACCTAAAATCACCCAGTACATCAAATCGGCATTAACAGATCACGCTAACACCTAAAATTACCCAGTACATCAAATCGGCATTAACAGATCACGCTAGTACACCAAATCGGCATTAACAGATCACGCTAACACCTAAAATCACCCAGTACACCAAATCGGCATTAACAGATCACGCTAACACTTTTGCATTCTGAATGCTCAATACCATATCAGCTGACAACTGGAAGCTATGCGTCATTTTGATATCACACTTGATGTCGGACAACTGGTTAACGGAAGAACTACCAATACACGGTTGGGATCTTACATTGCCTCACAGAAATATTGTTTTTTTTTATGTAAACATGATGTTAAGCTTTTTAAACTCTTTAAAGAATATCTTCAGTATATCGTACCTTTTCCTGCTCTTATCAACTATGATCTTGATAGTTTGTACATTATCTAGACAATCGACAATATGTAGTGTTGTGTTCGCAATGTCGTTGACAATTTTCGCCAAAATTTAGGAAAAGGGTGGAAAAACCCGAGTCGATCATTATGTAGGCGTGAGGGATAGGGAAATAACATGTCGTTTACAACAATTGACTCTATAAATATGAAAAGTTCTTGTGATTTAAAAGATAATTGATGTTCCTAGATATTTACATCTAATTTAGACATTTTGTATTGCCATATAAAAGCAAAAGCGTAGGACACAAGGTTTGAGAACATCACACCTAAAATCGAAATATAATAAAAATCCTTGGCTTTATTGATGAAAAAACACACGAAAATAATGACAATAACGTTGAATCTAACAACTCAACAAATCTATCTTACTATTTGTTACGTTTGATAAACAACAGCCGTATCCTACAGTGACAGTAATCACATCCGTTATAGATCCAATAAAACGCTAAATATAGCGAGCACTGTCACTCGGTGCTTTCCGTAAACCAGAGGTAAGTACATACAGGGGAGTCGAATAACGACTCCCTAGGGACGTGTGGGTGAACCAATCAGTGAGTAATTGGGCCGATCACTACAGTCGTACAGGTGGCAGCAATTGTTTGATGTGTGGCCAGGTGATAGGGGAGCCGTACTCAGCCTCGCTTTCATCACCTCGGTCAGTCAGCGTTTTCAGGGATACGTCTCGACTCAATCATTTGTAGCATTGCTAGTTAATGTAGGAGATAAGATAATAAAATCTTTGTATAAATCAAATGTTTTTAACCATATATGGGTTGTTTAGAATTCTTGGTACAGCATAAACTTAATTAATAATGTTACCTAATAGATATTTAAATAAGTTGCGATTGGTGTTCTTTAAGTGTGGTAAACTACTTTTGATTTTTTTTTGTAAATAACACAACAAAGAAATACTCTCGGGATGACATCATGAAAGTTGAGTTCGGTTGCACGTTTAAGCAGGCTGTTGACATTCCCATGGACGAAAATGTTCCCGTTTCCTGGTCGACTTATTTTGTTTGCCAGTTAATAACAAGAGATTTAATGACCATGTCGATTGAATAAACTCTCCTAAACCTGAAATAAAGGAACACTTTATACCTTTCCACATTAGCCTTTGTTTTTATTTACGATATAACCATTAGGGACTGATCACTAATAAGTTGTACAATAAGTGTGACAATATCGATTTTCCGACCGTGAACATCCACTTCCTTGGTAGTAACTTCCTTACGCCCCACCTATATACGGCATTTTTATGTTGAAATTGATTCAGTATTCAAGCTTGCCCCCAATATCACGGGTTCCGTGATAACTGTTGAGTAATGACAAAATAAGCATCGAAAGATTAAGATTGATTTGTATTACTAGGAGTAAATTTGATGGTCGCCATCATCGCATTGGGAAGAATTCTATTTCCTTGTGTGATAGGATATGTGACGTTTGTCACGACCCCTGTTCTCACTTTAACATGAAATACTGCTTTCTGTAAAAAGGATCTGTTGAAGCCAAAAGTAGTAAAATTTGTGACGTTATAAAGGGTTTAAAAGACACCTTTTCATTTCGCTGCATTTCTACATACTTTTCAAAAACAACTTGGACATGGAGGTTTCTTCCTTTTACCTGAAGTACCGCCGATAAGTCCTACGATGATAAAATGGCGGTATGGTGCGGTTAAGTTCTTACTCTATTTGGCTTTTGGTATATTTAACTTCTAGTGGTTAATTCAGTACATGAATAAGTAGGACTTGATGTAGTCCGAAAAACATGGGTTGGTATAGAATACGTTGGAAAATACTTTTCGTAACGATCTTTGAAACATGTTAATAATACCACCTAGTGCATAAAGAATAGATCTTTCGATCCATGTGCGACATGTGTGTGAAAGTGACGATTTATTTCTAAAATATCAGTTTGAAGTGCGCTCCGGGCGCGGGTCGCATATTTCCCGCATATTATAGAGGGCCGGAGTTCTGACGTTAATCGACGACAAACCGATATGAAAAAAAGTCGATAAAACGTCAGAATAATTCGGACTAGATTTGATGTAGATTTATATGACGACTGTCGTCGCCGAAGCAGATAGCTACCTTTCTAGGACACCTAGTCCTACTCTCGCCTTGACCCTTTTCAAGAAAATTCTGCTGTAAACTGTTGTTTGTAAAGACAGTTGTGAACTCCAAATCAGTGAGGCTTGTTTCATCTAACATTGTAGTGTCTCGGTTAGGAAACCCTGGCTAGTAGTCGACTGGAATCGTGTATCCGGAAATCTTCAAACTGTAGACATGTCTTTGCAATAACAAACGAACTTGGACAAGAAAATCTCAAGAGAATGTATAGAGGATATGATGCTAGTGATGAAATAAAACAAAAATGATTTTGAAATCAAATAGTTTGATAGTGTTTAAACATTAAAAAAAATTGAAGTTGAGATGACCATTATTGACATATCGTACTTGTCAGGATACGTAGCTGAAAACTTATCGATTTTGTTTTTGTTTTTGTTTTTGTTTTCTTTGGAGTCTAGATGAACGTATTTATTAAGATTATTGGTTTTACGTCAAAACAACATCTATATATCTGAATGAGAAATGACGTAAACGGGTAATCAACTTCTCTCTAATACGTTAATATTATGAAGGATTAGTATGAAATAATAATTGCTGTAAAAACTGAAGGGTTTAAAAATCAAACTTTTTCAGTTAATATTGCTATGGGTATCTTAATGGTTTCAATTCGGCTATATGAACGCATTTCTCAGTTTGCAGACATCCTATAAACATTTGGTGTAGAAAATACGCTAAGCAACAAATCGTTTCGAGGTATAAAGTGTATGACTCATAGCTTTTATTTTAAGAAAGCTTTCAAAATCAAATCCTTGAATGAAATCGGTAGATATTAGAGAGTAAAGGGTGAGAAATATACGATATGATACGTGACGCTAAGCAGCAAACTGTTTCGAGGTATAAAGCGTATGACTCATAGCTTTTATTTTAAGAAAGCTTTCAAAATCAAATCCTTGAATGAAATCGGTAGATATTAGAGAGTAAAAGGTGAGAAATATACATTATGATACGTGACGTTGTATCAATGATTTTTTTACTGCTAGTGCACAAAATGTCGGTATTGCATGTGTAATTGCCCGTCTGATTAACTTGCGACGTCTGGTTAGGTAGAGGTTTCTATGCAAACGAATGAACTCGGGCACGCGAGGCTGAGAAATAACATCAGTTACACAACGCCTTAGCAGATAATTTTCCCTGACAAACATAGTTAAGCCCTCCCTGAGGAGCCCCAAACATCAAGCAAATAAGGAACATATTTCGCGCTCCTCCCACACCTTCCAGAAGTACGATATGGAATCGTATACACAGATAAAGCATGGCCTTATATAGGATAGTAAACCAAGGAAACACTGCAGCAACCAGCAAACTACAATGTAACAGCCAGAAGTGTCTTCCTAGGAGAACCATGGTAATATTGGGGTCGATATCTTAAGTTTACAGTCAACGTTATTACA